TTAGTGGGTAGAGGGGCAGGACAGGGCTGGGGTGAGGGGTAGTGACATGGGCTGGGGCAGAGTGCAGACAGGGTAGTGAGGGGCAGTGACAGGTGTTAGGGAGTAGAGGGGTAGTGACAGGGGTTGGGGTAGTGACAGGGCTGGGGGCAGAGGGCAGTGACAGGGTGGGGGAGTGGAGGGGCAGTGGACAGGGGGTAGAGGGTAGTGACATGGGCTGTGAGGGTAGTGACAAAGGTTAGGGTAGTGACAGGGGTTAGGGGGTCGAGGCAGACAGGCAGGGAGTGGCAGGACAAGGGTTAGGGGGTAGAGACAGGGGTTGGTGAGGTTAGGGGTGGTAGACGGGCAGTGACAGGGGGTGGGGGGAGTGGAAGGGCAGTGAAAGGGGGTAGTGGGGCAGTGGCAGGGGGGTAGAGGGGCAATGGCAGGGGGTAGAGGGGCAGTGGTAGGGTGGAGGGGAAGTGAGTGACAGGGGGTAGAGGGGGGTTTATAAATACCTTCCCTGGTGGTCCACTGGGCACCCTCTCTTCAGTCTGCAGCTCCGCCGGGAGTGAGCTGCAGACCACATGGGGAGTCTCGCAATCTCTAGACAGAGCATCGCCACGGCAACGCTCTGACAGGCTGGAGATCGTGAGACACCTCAGTCTGCAGCTCACTCCTGGCGGAGCTGCAGACTGAGGCTGGATCTCCGGCAGGACAGACTGACAGGAGGGGCCTCGCACCTGGCGGCTTTGAGGGCAAGGCGCCGGGCCCCCTCCTGTGTTGGGTCCTGCCCTAAGGCAGTGCAGCACGGAGGTGTGATTAGGGTGTGCCCAGGCACACCCCGTGCGCACACCTATGAGGCACACACTGACAAACATTTACTGACAGAAACACACTCACTGATAATCAAAAACTCTCAGAAAGAGATACACACGCTCATTAAAAGACACACAAACTCACTGATTTGACACACACTCTCAATGGCAGTGAGTGTGAGTCTGTCAAGGTGTATCCAATCAGTTAGTGTGTGTGTCTGTCATTGAGAGTTTGTGTCTGATTACAAAGAGGTGGGGCTTATAGATAAAGAGGTGGAGTCACTGCCATTGAAACATGCATGGGAAGGAGCTACTAGTATGACGACACCTGCAAAAAAACCATTCTCTACCCAGGTGTCGGTGACCTTAGGATTGACCCTGCCCACTGGGGAGTGTTTTCAATATATTTATACTGGCAGACAGTTTGTGTTAAGACAGAAATTAAAACTGTATATTGCAAGTCACCATCAGAACAGAGGTGACTCCATTCTGTATCACAATGCAAAGACAGACATACATTTTTTTTCTATCTGAAACTCTATTTACTCAAGCCTGAGGCAAGGAATGCGATTTATGTAAACATTTGGCAGATGACATGATGTCTGCAGCGGGGGGAGAAGAGGGGGGTTCAACTATCCAGAGACAAATATATATAAATATCCACATATAACTAACTATAAGTATATTAATCATATTTAAATACTACTATAATTAATAATATAGAATATTCATGGATATAATATCAATGAAGAAATGTCATATTATTTACTAACGTTAGTGGAATATGCGTAATAGACATGTATAAATAATATTACTAAGTAATTAATTTTACTTTCCAAAAGCTAGCGGAATCATACAAAGTACCATTGTAAGGAAGGGTGAAATTAAGGTTAGGACGTGTCAGGAATCTAACTTATAGCCAAAATTGCAGACGTTCTGTCTTGTAAAAGTGACCCAAAACCTTTGAAAAGTGACATGTCTGTGACGAATAGGTATCATAAAAGATAACCAAGATGACGTCAAACGCATCACAAAATCCAGTTAACGCATTATACATGAAGGTAAATGGACCCCCTGACAAGAATTTTCTGTGATATAATTGCGCCATCTACTGACCAAAATCTAGATGATAGCCTGTAGGGAAGACACGCCCACAGTTCTCTATTGGTCCTATCAACTAGTGACGTATAGAGAACTTCTCCTTTAAAAATTAAGGAAGAAGGAGAGAGAGGAGACTCTTGAACTCTCAAACTCTCAAAGACTCTCAGACACACTCAGACTGTAGACACACTCTCTTTGAGGATGGACTCACACCTAACATCTAAGATCTGACATCTGGAGCCAAAGCCTGACACACCTAATTCTTTGTATCTTTTCCAACTAACACAACTTCAGAACTCTGAAAACCTTTCTATTTTCATACAATTCTCTCATCTGACTTGCATTCAAAATTCCTGGGACATATTTACAAATCTGATAGAAAATCTACAGCATAACTGGTAATTATGCTGGTTTTAGTTAATTTAATTAAAAGAGGCAGAATATACTTGGATAAAAGCTGGTGACTCCAACCTTAAGGAGTCATGATTCGTTAATAATACAGGGAGTGCAGAATTATTAGGCAAGTTGTATTTTTGAGGATTAATTTTATTATTGAACAACAACCATGTTCTCAATGAACCCAAAAAACTCATTAATATCAAAGCTGAATATTTTTGGAAGTAGTTTTTAGTTTGTTTTTAGTTATAGCTATGTTAGGGGATATCTGTGTGTGCAGGTGACTATTACTGTGCATAATTATTAGGCAACTTAACAAAAAACAAATATATACCCATTTCAATTATTTATTATTACCAGTGAAACCAATATAACATCTCAACATTCACAAATATACATTTCTGACATTCAAAAACAAAACAAAAACAAATCAGTGACCAATATAGCCATCTTTCTTTGCAAGGACACTCAAAAGCCTGCCATCCATGGATTCTGTCAGTGTTTTGATCTGTTCACCATCAACATTGCGTGCAGCAGCAACCACAGCCTCCCAGACACTGTTCAGAGAGGTGTACTGTTTTCCCTCCTTGTAAATCTCACATTTGATGATGGACCACAGGTTCTCAATGGGGTTCAGATCAGGTGAACAAGGAGGCCATGTCATTAGATTTTCTTCTTTTATACCCTTTCTTGCCAGCCACGCTGTGGAGTACTTGGACGCGTGTGATGGAGCATTGTCCTGCATGAAAATCATGTTTTTCTTGAAGGATGCAGACTTCTTCCTGTACCACTGCTTGAAGAAGGTGTCTTCCAGGAACTGGCAGTAGGACTGGGAGTTGAGCTTGACTCCATCCTCAACCCGAAAAGGCCCCACAAGCTCATCTTTGATGATACCAGCCCAAACCAGTACTCCACCTCCACCTTGCTGGCGTCTGAGTCGGACTGGAGCTCTCTGCCCTTTACCAATCCAGCCACGGGCCCATCCATCTGGCCCATCAAGACTCACTCTCATTTCATCAGTCCATAAAACCTTAGAAAAATCAGTCTTGAGATATTTCTTGGCCCAGTCTTGACGTTTCAGCTTGTGTGTCTTGTTCAGTGGTGGTCGTCTTTCAGCCTTTCTTACCTTGGCCATGTCTCTGAGTATTGCACACCTTGTGCTTTTGGGCACTCCAGTGATGTTGCAGCTCTGAAATATGGCCAAACTGGTGGCAAGTGGCATCGTGGCAGCTGCACGCTTGACTTTTCTCAGTTCATGGGCAGTTATTTTGCGCCTTGGTTTTTCCACACGCTTCTTGCGACCCTGTTGACTATTTTGAATGAAACGCTTGATTGTTCGATGATCACGCTTCAGAAGCTTTGCAATTTTAAGAGTGCTGCATCCCTCTGCAAGATATCTCACTATTTTTGACTTTTCTGAGCCTGTCAAGTCCTTCTTTTGACCCATTTTGCCAAAGGAAAGGAAGTTGCCTAATAATTATGCACACCTGATATAGGGTGCTGATGTCATTAGACCACACCCCTTCTCATTACAGAGATGCACATCACCTAATATGCTTAATTGGTAGTAGGCTTTCGAGCCTATACAGCTTGGAGTAAGACAACATGCATAAAGAGGATGATGTGGTCAAAATACTCATTTGCCTAATAATTCTGCACTCCCTGTATATAGAATTCGTAATTCCATTTCTGCAGATGGACCAATAAACTCTATACTACTTTTAACTTTAAAAAGTAGAATACCAGGCAGTTATCCAGATGTATTAGTTTATGTAATTTAGAAATAGTAAATCTTAATTAGGAAAGTTAAAATTCTGCACTGAACATAAAATCTGATTAGAATTATTCTTATTGGATGGACAGAGGAATGGTCAAATGGGGGCAGAGGGGCAGTGAAATATTGTAGTTGTAAAATTGCAATATAATAGGATGTCTTGCCTATGAGAATTGTAGCCAGCAGTGAAAGAGCTAATTCAGTGTGATTTGACTGTCAGACAAAGTTTTTATTGCTTTAAGCTGTGTTGCTGTGTTCTGTGTTAAGTTGATTTCAAAGTGAAGTGTCCTGTCGTCAGTCTTTTTGAAAACTGCATACATGTCAATATAACTGTTGCTATTTAGCTATCTGTAATTGTGTAAAAACCACTGCCATATTATATACTTATGTTATACCTAAATATTCAGTGATATTATCAGTGATATTATTATTATTATTAATATTATAATAGGGCCCCCACCGGCCGCTCAGGGGTGGGGGCCGGAAAAGGACAATAGTCCCCACCCTTATTCTGACTTAGGGGCTCCACCCGTGGCTCAGGGGTGAGGGCCGGGGGAAGGACAATAGGTCCCCCCCTTCTAAGTAATTTATGGCTCCCACCCGTCGTTCATGGGTGGGGGAAGGGTGGAGGACAATAGGTCCCCCCCCTTATTCTACTTTAGTGCCCCCACCCGCCGCTCAGGGGTGGTGGTCAGGGGGAGGACAATAGTTCCCCCCCGTTTTTCTGATTTAGGGCCCCCATCCGCCGCTCAGGGTGGGGGCTGGGGGGGGAGGACAATAGGATTCAGCTGTAAGAATTTGCAACACTTACAACAATCAAGTAACACGTTCATATAAAATGTAAGTTACTTAGCCAGTCAATGGATGGGAATGAGTAAGTAGATAACTCCCTAATTCCCACTGTATTTTCTTTGGAATTTCTCATGGTAAGTTATTTGGAATTTTCCCAGGCTGTGTAATTTGACTCGGTACAAAACTCTCATTGGTTGAATGAAAGCAAGCAATCAGAGTTATGAGTCAAATTACACAGCCTGGGAAAATTCAAAAGAACTTACCGTGAGAAATTCCAAAGAAAATACAGTGGGAATTAGGGAGTTATCTACTTACTCATTCCCATCCATTGACTGGCTAAGTAACTTACATTTTATATGAACGTGTTACTTGATTGTTGCCTCAGAGTCTCTTTGGGTGGTAGGCGCCATCTTGGTTGGTGTAGGCCACTCAAACAATAGCCTAATGTCAGGGTGTGCGGCTTTCTATACTTGAACTTGCCGCCTGTGCTTGCGCCCCATGTTGTCAGCTGTGCATGGCATTTGGGTTGTACTTTCAAGTTGCGGTATTTTGCCATTTTGTCTCTGTTTTGTAGGGCCCTGACAGAGCCCCACATTAACACGCCAGGCTTGGTGCTCGGCCGGCGCAACCTATATTTTGTGTATTTTGCTTTAACATATCTAACCACAACTTTTGTCCTGTGACTCATTGTGGTTGCTCTTGTGTTCCTTTACCCCTTCCTCATAGATGGTAAGCTTCTTTGAGCAGTGCCTTCTCCACCTGTTTCTAATAATAATTTATCATACAACCTGTTTGTTATTTTTATTCGATTCCAGAAGATTAACATTAGTTTTAATTTATAATGCCCATTTATTTGGCCAAATGATTAATTATTACAAATATTAATTTGCAAAATATGAGCAGTGCAAAATGTTGGAAACATCCTCTAACACCAGGAGGCATAAAGGAAGATCCATCTGTTACATTAAAGAGCGACACCTTGATTCAGCCAAGATCACAATTATTGTTGTTGGTAATGAACCAACATTTTCAAGTGCAGCTGGTTTGCCCGATTAGCTCAAAGCCACTTTTCTGTATAATAAAGTTCTCCAAGTGTTATATTATGAAAGCTTTCATCTTTCAAGTAGTCTGTAAAGTGTAAAGAAAATAAGATTCAAAATGACAGTAGGTCAAGAATAATTTAGTGAACTAAAGACACTGAAGAACAATTAACCAACTAAGTTAGGGGGCTTTAATCTACAGGATTTTGGAATAGTTAAAGAAATATTCTGAGCACCATAACAACTACAGGGTGCGTCAGTGTTAATTATACCATGAGTACCATACCAACCCCTCAGTTGTCTGAAATATGGAGAGCTAGACACTCCTAGGCAAAGCCTTGTCATGCAGGGAAAGCTTATTGGCTGAGAGTGTCAGATGATTATTCTCCATGAATGAGCTAAACCCTGCATCTCTGCGCTTACCTCAGGCAGAGAGACTCTGGCTGCAGTCGGGCAGGAAGCAGTGCCCGATGGACCACAGGAAAGCAAGTGATTGGACTACTCACAATGGGAGAGGTGTACTAGAGCACTCATGGCACCATAACTACTACATGCAGTTATGGTGCTTAGAGTGTTCCTTTAAAACTATCTATTATATAATTAATTCCTAACAAACATTACTATATACAGAGATACAAAAATATATATTTTTAAAAACTTAATTTATTTTTTATAGTTTGCATGTTATTATTATGGCAAAGAGCAAGTCATATAATTTGCAAATGTAAAAAGCAGGAGAGACCAAACAAAGCTAGCAAATGAATGAATGTAAAAAATAAGCAAAGTTCACAGACAGTGACAGGGACACTTTAAACTTGTATTTGTACCCAGAGTATCCCTTTAAAGCTTAATAGAGGGTTTTAGGAGGGACTTAAGTCATTATATCTGGGATATTTGTAACCTAGCAATGTCACTGGTGCAGACATAGTCATGGGCATCCACAGGAATTTTTCCAGGGGGGGTCATAATTGTAATGACATTCATGCTTGGTCCCTTTTTGAAAGTGTCATGAAAGGGAAGGGGCATAGTCATTATCACATAAACCCAGGGTGAATAGCATTTTCACAACTATGGTGTCAGGAATACATGTTTGTATTCCTGACACTATAGTGTTCCTTTAAACAAATTAAAGGAACATTCTGGTCACCATAACAACTTCATCTAAATGAAAATCCTATGATGCCAGGAAGCCCATGGGTGCTCTCTTTCCTTTAAGGGGTTAAACCGCTCTTAAATGTTTTAATCCCAAAAGCTTCCTCCAGCTCAGTGGTATTCAGCTTCTGAAACGGAGTGTCAGGAAGTGCAGATTGACGTCAGGCGTGGCTGATTGGCTAGAGTGGTCAGTTGACACTCTAAGCCAATCGCTAGTTCTCGGTTCATAAAAATGTTTTACTTTTTTATGAATATGAATGGGGAGCTACTGATTGGCATAGCATGCCAGCTGACCGCTCTAGCCACTCAGCGACACCCTACCCAGCGGCACTCTGTGCTTCCTGACACTGAGTAAATAAAAGTGAACACATTAACACTGATGATTTTTTTTTTACCTGGGGAGATGAGAAGGTCCAAAGTTTCCCTGCCAGGCCCAGGAACCAAAGCCTTATGATGTGGTGTCCAGAATAAAGTGGAGGGTTCACTTCACTTGTCCTTCCTGCTCCAATCTCCTTTTCTTCTCCTTCATTTGACACAGTCTTCTTTTTCTTCTGACACTGTCTTCTCTCCTCCTTGGCTCCTTCTGCTCCTATACTTTTCTGTTACTTGCTGCTTATTTTGCGCCCTTCTGCCCCTTTCTCTTTCTGATCACTTTCTGCTCCTTGCAGACCCTTTCTGCTCCTTTTCCTACTTTACCTTTGTGCTCCTTCTGTCCCTTTCTGATCTTTGCAGACCCTTCCTTCTCCTTGCAGACCCTTCCTGCTCCTTGCCGCCCCTTCCTGCTAATTTCTGCTACTTCTCCTACTTTACGTTTGTGCTCCTTCTGCCCCTTCCAGCTCATTGCTGACCCTTTCTGCTCCTTCATGTCCCTTCCTGCTCATTTCTGTTCTTTCTCCTACTTTAAGTTTGTGCTTCTTCTGTCCCTTCCTGCTCCTTGCTGCCCTTTCCAGCTCCTTGCTGGCCCTTTCCAGCTCCTTACTGACCCTTTCTTCTCCTTCTCCTTCTCCTTTACCTTTGTGCTCCTTGCAGACCCTTCTAGCTCCTTACAGACCCTTCGTGCTCCGTGTAGACCCTTCCTGCTCATTTCTGTTCCATTCTGCTCCTTCTCCTACTTTACCTTTTGTGCTCATCGCTGTCCCTTCCAGCTCATTGCTGACCCTTTCTGCTCCTTGATGTACCTTCCTGCTCATTTCTGTTCCTTCTCCTTTCTGCTCCTTCTCTTACTTTACCTACCTGCTCCTTGCTGACCCTTCCTGTAGGCTGTCTCACCAATCCCTAGCTTAACTAATCTATAAGCTGACTCCCCCCCATCCCTCACTTACCTGATCTATAGGCTGTCTCCTCCCCCCCATCCTTCACTTACCTGATCGGTAGGTGATTCCCCCCCCCCAATCTCTCACTTACCTCATCTGTATGCTGTACTCTCCCATTTCTCACTTACCTAATCTACAGGCTGTCTCTCCCCTCCCCCTGCCTCACTTCCCTGATCTGTAGGCTGCCCCCCATGCCTCACTTCCCTGATCTGTAGGCTGCCCCCCCCATGCCTCACTTCCCTGATCTATAGGCTGCCCCTCATGCCTCACTTCCCTGATCTGTAGGCTTCCCCCATGCCTGTGATGTATGGGCAGTTGGGCAGTGTGAGTGTATGAGTGTATTGTGACAAGAGCAATCTCGCCATAGTGCATTGGAGGAGCCTGGTTGCCCACCTGCTCCCTTTAAACTATGGCCCCATGTTGAAACGCTTGATTTTCCCCTGCAAAGACACGAAAGCCGGGTCATTCGGTGCTTGCCCTTTTTGAGCGGTGATACCCCAGATAGCTATGCCATGGAGCCCGTATAATGAAAGACTATGGAAAAGACTTTGTCTCCATGGAAATTGAATTCTATGTGTGTTATCTGAGTGCCATTCAGTAATAATGTGCGCTCAGATCTGAGCTATCTGGGGATATGTTGAACTCCATGTGTTCAATGGAGTTTTGCCTCTGTCCTTGGAGATAATTGGATTACTTCCCAATTATCTCCAGGATAGAAGACTCTGTGGAACTGGTTTTGGGCAGAAAAGCCATGCTTCATTTGGTCACAAAGGACTACGATCTATCTTTTGAACCACTGCACCAATTTGTATGATTTTGACGTATGTTTGTATTTGGAGTATGCTGATTCTGAAAATGTAAGAAATGTTTTATGTGAATGTGATGCATACTTTTACAATTATTAATAATGTGGAAAAACTGTATTTCTCTGCCTGTGATAATTACATTACCCATTGTGTAAGGTAATTGTATCACAGGCAGAGGGGAGGAGTTTGTGATGGGAGTGTCTGAGTGTATTGTACGTGTTTATTGGTTGTTTTCCAAAACCCTGTGGGTGGTACTAATGTGTAAGAATGTGTATATAAGAACAATAAACCCACAGCTCTGTCTGTTCCTGCTTGACCCTCAGAACGGAGCCTTGTCTCGTTCTTGGGGGGGATTTTATTGTATGCTGTTCCAGCTTGACTGCTAGCAGTGTAAACCTAATCATATGTTTTTTCCTATTCGGCTGTTTACAGCATTCGTATGGTTCCCGTTGAGCTGTTTACGGCAATCATATGCTTCTCCGGTTCGGTGGATTGGTGTCTACAGTAGCTGCCTGTGTCTCTGGAAGAGGAAGATCTTCTAAACGGCGGTTTAACCCCTTTTATGCCTGGGGGTGCCGTTACATGTATGTATTGTGATGTATGGGCAGTTGGGCTGTTGTTGCACTTCCTTTCTTTTGGTTCTTTACTTCCTGTTCCTGTTGGCAGTTGGTGGAATGTTCGATGGATTTGAAATGGTGGCTGCAGAAACCCTGTGTAACAAGGCTGCAATATGAAGATCCTGTTATATATGTATTAATAAAGTGAGTACTTCATTATACAGGAATTATTGACTGATTTGTACAAAACATCACAGTGACGACGAGGCTGTAGAACCCAAATTGACATGGCTGCCATTGGCACTATAAAGGACTTTGATCCTGACTCGGATTTATGGGCCTCTTGGGTTGAAAGGCTTGAACAATATTTCACAGCTAATGACATTC